CGGATTGTTGGGGGCAATATGCTGACTCTCTGTAAACCGCTTAGAGAGGGCTGAAAGCCCTATGAAGCGGTATATAAGTCTATTGCTATTGCTATCATACTAATATTATCGTACTATACTTGAAAACTTAAGCCCATGCCAGGATAATAAAATTAATGTACATATTATTCTAATGATGAATTGCAGTCCAATTAAATGTTTAGGCCTAGCCTTACCTTATTATAATAAAGAGCCTCTTCAGGAGAAAATTCTCTTTTGAAGTCTCCACCCACCGCGCAGTGCGCATGTGCACAAATACGCATTAACCTGCCCATGTTACACAACAGAAGAGCAGCATTGGTTGAATCATCAATGGATTCAAAGTTCTGAATCCCTTTTTCAAAAAAAGAGAAACTTTTCTTCCAAAGTTGCTGCTCTGCTGCGGATGCCATTTTGCTCTCTGTAACAGAATAAAAGGAAAAGGGACCCATTTCATTCAAAGAAATCAGAAATAACATCTGAACACAATTCTGGAAAATGAAGCAAAAATATGTTTACTGCAAATGCATAAAGAACATTTCAAATGTTTTTGTTTTTCCAAGAGACGGATTGGAAACTGTCAGGAGACAGCAGCGTGGCAGTACAAAACCAAGTAAATAAATATTTTTTAAAAGCTCTTTCCAACTTTTTTTCTTCCTGAAGTTGTTGATTCCATGATGGTTACCAGGATTGTGAGAAAGTCATAAATAGCTAAGGATCTAAATATAAATTCTTAGACCTCACAGGAAAATTACTCCTAAGACAGAATATTCTTCAAAAACCCTACAGTGGGTGGGTCCCAAGAAACATGCCTTCTCTGCCATGCCAATTTAATTTAATAAATAATAATAATAATGCCATGGCATTGGCCTTATGGAACATTTTCTCCTTCCCCCAACTCCAACCCTTTCAATATTCCGGAAGGCCCTTAAGGCCTGGGGCTCCCAGGGAACTAGAGACTTTCTTAGTTGGCTTCACTGTTGTTATTCTTATATTCTTATAGTTATTCTCACCTATAGTTTATATCTTTGTAAATATTTTATAGTATTTACCTTTTAAAATGATTTTTATATGTTTTACATTGTTTTCTTTATACGTAGTTTAATCTCTCTGTTGTCTACTGAGACAACAGACAGTTTAATAAATATATAAATAAAAAAATTATAAAACAAATTTTATTTCTGCTTTCTGCCACTAATGTGCAACTGGTAGCTAAGTATTGAATTGAATTGAATTGAATTTTATTATTTGTATGCCGCCCTTCTCCAGGAAGGACTCAGGGCGGCGAACAATTCAAAAAGGGGAAAAAGGGGAACATAGAACAGAATACAGATAATTAAAATAAGCAAGAATCACGCAACCATACAAGTCGAGCGGGGAGGGGAACTCATCACCCCCAGGCCTGCCNACCCTGTGTGATCTAATGGGTCTTTGGGAGGTAATTGGCAGCAGGCGGTCTCTCAAGTACCCAGATCCAATACTGCTTTGCAGTACACTGCTATCAATATATATCCTTGATTCGGTAAATTAAAAAGTAACATTTCTTGGGCTCAAATCCCACTCCTCCTTATCTTTTTCCCTTCCGAGTTTTCTGCAGTGAATGTTGTTAGAATTTGGGCCATTAAGATTCCCTGACCTGTTTATTTTATTTTCCTAAATAACAGTCAAGTGTAGCTATCACCTTTGTTCAAACTGTATAAACAAAAGGTACTTTCCTTTGCGGTGGTTGACAGCCAGAATTGCAAATATCAAGGAAAGATGCAAGCCAGAATAACACATGGGGCAGAATGCAGGCTTATTTTCTGAATCTGATGATTACGAGAGCCTTTTCAGAGCTTGTGAGGATTCATGGATGAACTGTTTTGTCTTTACCAAAAGACGAAGCAGTGATAACATTGCCGAAGCAATGATGGTGGCAATTATGGTTAGCAGAGACCTTGCCTTTTATCTTTAGAATTTGTCTAAGGCACCTTGTTTTATAGGAGAACACGCTCAAAGATCATTAAAAAAAACACTCTAATTTCAGCAAAAATTTGAAATGTTTTATCCCTTCCCCTTTGCACATTTTAAAGTTCCACAAACAGTTCTTCATGCTTTCCTTTAAGACTCGTGCAACACTTCATACAGAGATGCATAAGTACGTGATGTTGTATGCAAACATTTCCGATATTGCTGGCTATTACCCAGCTGATCCTGCTGAGCGCTGACAGTTCACATCAAAATTATTTTTCGTGTCAGTCAGAGATGCTAACACATAATCAGCATGTTTGCTCTCAACATTCAAATGGGAATATTTAAGTCAAACAGAAAGACCTGTTTTTGAGACAACATAGTGGAGCAGTGTTTCTCAACCTTGGCGACTTGAAGTCCACAGGACTCTTCTTTTCTCTTCTTTTTTTTGTCTCTTCTTTTTTTTTTATTAAAGAGTTTTAATAGACTTTATAAGTATTTCCCCTTCCCTCCCTCCACCCCAACCCCGCGCCCTCTCCAACCCTCCCCCCCAACCTCCCAGAGCAAAATACAGGGTATAAACATTTAACAATCATACACTAACATAAACTAACTNGTCAGCGACACGGTTTAATCGGGCGCGGCTTAGTCGAGCGCGGTTTTGTCGTGCCACGGTTTTTTAAACTGTCATAGAACTAAGTCACATGACCATGTGCATACAGCTCAGAGGTAGTATTCAATTCGCCCAAACTGGTAGTGGAAATTGGGGGTGGCGCCGCCCACCCAACCCAGCTCTATGGTATCCCATTTAGGCCCTTTTTTCAGCCAAAAGCACATGCATGGAAGGCTGAGGGCATGCGCGGAAGCAGCACACTCACATTTGCAAACTGGTAGGGAAGGCAAGTGAATACCACCCCTGATACGGCCGTACACGCAGACTGCTTGTACTGTCATTAATACTCCCGAGGGGATTCGTCGTAACTTCAAATATTGACTAAGTGACCAGTCGTAAGTTGAGGACTACCTATGCTTTTCTGTCTACCCTGGATTGCTGATGCATTGCAGGAGATTGTGGGCAAATCCCAACATTACCTTTCCAGCTGATCACAGGAGGACAGAATTGAAAGGCCTTGTATTGTTGAGATGAGCTATTTTGCCACTTGGTTTCTCCAAGTGGGTTGTCACAACTGCTCCAATTCCTCAATTTCACAGCTAGAAATTCTTGGCAAGGGATTGTCCCAACATCTCTGGACAGAGTCAGGTTGTGGTAGATGAAAAACAATTAGGCAATAGAGAAAACCATCGATCGGCTATGGCATGCAGGCCAGAGGTGGCATGCAAAGCCCTCTCTGTGGGTGGCACACACTATGGGAAGATCGCCAGCTGATCTTCCAGTTTCCGGTGCGCGTATATGCTCCAGCTAGCTGGTCTTTGCACACACCGGAAACTGGAAGACCAGCTGCCACGTGCCGACCAACTGGTCTTCGGGTTTCAAGGTTCCGGTGCCCACGTGTGTGTTCCTGTTTTGGCACTCGATGCCGAAAAGGTTTGCATTCACTGGGCTAGGTTTTAGCTGGCTAAAACAGTGTTAAAAAGAAAGAGAGAGAAATATTGAGCCCCGTGTCAGAAACACAGAGGTGAGGGGAGTGTTCTGCAGAAAACCAGCAATTCCCTTCGGTGTGTAGACATCACAATATTTAATTTATGAACCACTGTACTAGTACTGACACATCTCCCCCCCCTCCCCCTGGAGATGAAGGATGTTTGTTTAACAGGCTGATCTTTCCCCCGTCATTCAGATTGGCAGCGATTCCTCTTACAAGTACGATATTTCCACTTCTATACAATCTGTTACCTCTGACTAATGGCCAGGTGTTATCTTGAAGATTTTTTTTTCCCCCTTTCACTTTAAAAAAACCTCATAGGTGTCATCTCGGGAAGGAGGTATTTGAATTCCAAATGCCCTTTTCACACTTTTATTAGGAGGAATGTATACAATAGCTAAGAATATAATTACAAACGAAAATCAAAACAAACCTTTTGCACACTTCCCAACTTAAATGTCTTCAGGCTGGTTTCCACTTCGCTTTGCATTAAAATCATTTAAAAAGTCTGCACAAGAAATGTTGTTTCATCTCTCTGAATCACACGTTTGTAAACAGCATTCAGGTGTGCTGCGGCTGCCTACGTGTGCTTCATTTTTTTCTGTAATGAAGATGTTTTTTAAGGTGCATTTTTATATTTGGAAACCCCTGTTAACATTTAAAGCGGCGTGGCTATTGACGGACAATTACGTTAAATTTGAATATTAGTTCTGGAAGCATGAATAAAAGTAAGGGCATTGGCCAAAATCTTTCACTAATGATGCAAAGAAATAAGTTGCTAATTATCACGAACAATTTTGTTCTAAAGTAAGAATTAAAATGTGTACCCATCACAATGTTCCTCATCCGTATCTCAGTCAAGTTAAATTATGTCTTCTTTTATGTTCTATATATATAAAAGCCAAATACCATTCACTCAACACGAAATCTCCAGAACTGTAAAGCCTACAAACTTGAAATTTGGCACGTATGTTCCTCTTGGCTTCTAGGTGCTCACTAAAAAAGGATTTTTCGAAATGACCATCAGATCATTAGTATTTCTTATACAGTAATTAACATGCTTTGATGGAGTTAGACATTCTACCCCCCCTCCCCACTTGAAAAGAACTCTGTTCCAACTGCCAGTTGCCTCACATTCCGTTACCACAGTTCAAACTGGCATACGTTCCACTCCTTCACTCGGGAGCGGTCTGGGGCTTCTTACAGTACTAAACATCAAAACCTCACCAAAATGTCTACGCCTTTCACCTATGGAACTGCTTCTGGACTCAAGGCAGTGGGAGCGATATTCCCTTATGTGTTTCAATCACCACTGAGCCAATGGATTCAACCATAGTGGATCAAATTTCTCCTGCATTGCCCAATCATATAGTTTCATAGTATCCAGCTAGTAATATATATGGAATGGCACAGTTAAGGTATTGGAAGATCCAGGTTCAAGTCTATCCCCAGCCAAAGAAATTCACCGTGTTACTATTTTTCAGCCCCATCCACTTTATAGATTGAGATGAGAATCCTTCTTAATCCCTTGGGGGAATTTCGAGCTAGAAATTCCATTATTCTTGGTAAATCAGCTAAATTGATGAGTTTTTTAAAAATATAATATGTTTTATTGGAGTTTATTGTTGTATAAAATACAAATTCGGAATAAAGATCAGGAAAGAAAGGAGTGCAAGATAAAAAGAAAATGAAAGGAAAGCAGTGATTCTGACTCTTTCCATGAAGTGGAATACAAAACCAAAAGTTGCAACCTCAACTTTTGTTTTTGCTATCCAGTTGCCACAATCCATTTCTATAAAAGTAACATTAATTTAATCGTCAAATCTAAAATCCAAATTGCATTCCCCCTCCCCTGTTTTGAGCATAA